GACAGCTGCCTGGGGACTGCTCGGGGACTGCCCCGGGACTGCTCTGCGGCAGCGAGAGCGAAAATCTCCGGGAGGCAGCTGGGAACCAGGCTGCCTGCAGAGCTGCCGAGGTGCTGATGCGCGCCTCGCCACACGCTGCCTGACACCGAGGGAAAGGCGGCCTCCCCGTGGAGCAGGGCTGGGCAGCAGGACCTCCCCTAGCCCATCAGGATGGTGGCACTGCTCCTTCCACATCCCCCAAAAGCCCAGCCTTCATCCCCTCCGCTTCACCCCAAAACCCCTCTGGCAGATGTGGGCACTGCGCCCTGCCCGCCGGGGTCTGAGGAGCTCCACACTGGGACAGGGCGGCCAAGGGCTCAGCCCATGTTTGCATCCAAGTGCAGCTGCCTCTTTCCAAGCATAACTTGGCCCAATTTCCAAAAAAAAAAACAAAAACCAACCCTAGCTGTTGCCTCAGATCAGCGCTGGCAGGGAAACAAGCACGTTATAAAACACTAGACGCACGAGATGGAAAACTTTCCTTTTCTCTCCGGCGCACCCCATGTGCTGCGCCGCGTCCCCAAAATGACTGCTCTCCAGGAAGGCACAGTGCCTTTCCGAGCTAGTCTGCGAGCCTAATTAATAATAATCCCAGGCTGTTCCTACAAGGAGACGAGGAGAAGTGAGGGGTTGTGCTGGGGCAGGGATGCTCGCTGCTGAGAAAGCCTGCGCTTCCCGAGGGAGATGTGCTCCAGACCGTGCGGATGGCCGTGGTGCTGCCAGCCGGGCTGCCAGCAGCATCATGCATCCACTCCGGGCCAAACACCTCGGGCATATTCTCTGGAAAAGCTGAGCACAGACTCTTTCGAGGCCAAAAAAGCCCTAACCTTCAGCAAACCGGTCCACGTGTTAGCTTCCCCAGGCCCTCTCCATGCCCTTGTCTTCAAGTTTCTGTTTTACTTTTACAGAATGACATTCTCCAGGGCATCCCCTCCAAACTGTCCTCCTAACACCCCCCCGTGGGGCTGCTGGGCAAGGACCTGCCAAACCCCAATGGCACCATCACCGCTGGTTTTCTTAGGAACTGGTGTTTCCAGCGCCCCGGGATGCTGGACACCTCAAGATTTCCACTCTCTCGCCCCAAATTATGCCCCGCCAGGGTTTTGCTGATGCTAAGGCGTCCTCTGTCCCTGTTCATGGAATGTCCACAGGCAGTGGGCCCTTGCACTAGTAAGATCTCCAGCTTTTTCAGGCAGCACATAACCTATAAGTCCTTCTGCAATGCAGACACAAAGCATCACCACCCATTTTACAGAGCACGTCTGCTCCCACGTTGGTGGAAACCATCAGTGTCTCCATGTAGGACTCTGATTTACCATGGAGTTTTTATTTTCGTTTTGATGATTTCCCTAAATTACTCGGGTTTGGTGTTGCTACATTCTCTAAGCCTAAATCTGGGGGCAAAAATCCAGAGCCGGACACCTCCCTGCGGTGTGTTTCGGGCACTTGGCTCGTCTCTGCCATGCGACGCTCACGGGGCTGAGGGTGACGCCACGTCTCTTCGGTCTGCCATCCCTCTGCCAGTCACACCTGGTATCTAAATGTGGGTCAAAAATTGCAAAAAGAGACAGCTGTATTCTAAAATAACTTCCACAAACAACACGTGCTCTCGACCTGCCAGGACTCAAAAATGACATCCCTGAAGTACAGATAAGCCTGCCCATGAGGTTCTGCCTTGCAGACTTCTGGCACCAAAAGATAAGCGCTGCTTGTAGATGAGCTCTTTTACATGGGGATATTGCCACCAAGGGAGCTGCCTCCTTCCTCACTCCTCACTGAAATCCGGAGGCAGAAAACAGCACCATCACTGAAAGACATGGACCTCATGGGAAGGGGAGGGGAAAATCATTTGACTTTTTTGAAAGCATGCAGGCCGACACATACACTAGTTCTGTAGAGCAACTCTTGATTTTTTTTTAATATTTTAATTATTATTTTTAAAACTATGTTGTTCTACAGCTGGCAAAAATCGTAACAGTTTAGGGGACGGTCACTGGCAGCACAGAGCTGGATTTTAGCTTGCATTTGCCTTTCGGGCTCCTAGGAGGCTGAAATTTCAGTAAGTGGGCTCTGCTTCCAGGTATCCCATTTAAGCCACTTATTGGCATGCAGCTCTCAGCTGGAGCATAAACGCTTTTATTACCTTGTATTAAGGAACTTCAGAGCTGTTAAGGATTTTTCGTTCAAGTTTTACTTACAGTGTTGTCTCACCAGCCCTAATTCCTGCTTTCAAACGATAAGTAAAGGCAAATGAACCATAAAAGCAGGTTAAGTTCAGCAGCTTCATGTCGAGATTAAACCTTGCATTCAGCTGATGTGTTTGCCCAGGAGCCAGGCAGCAGGGACTGTCAGCTGCTCTCTCTGAACATCACTCGAAGGGAACCTCGGGGGCTCTGAAGGCAGTATCTGGCTATTTGACTGCTCAAAACGCCAAACCAGCTCAGTCACACATCCCCGGCGTGATTCATCACATGCTTCCCAATGAGGCGGGGTGGGGGGGTGGGGAAGAACAGAAAAGAAAGAGAAAATGAGGTGTGTGCCCGTGAACCCAGGTCTGTGCCGGGGGGGAACGGCGCTACCTGCTCACAGCGCAGCACTGCCCTGTGGCCTGGGGAAGGAGGGAGCCCCAGGAAGGTCCTTGCTGGTTCCCGCTCGTTGCAGCTACACCGATAAGCAGCTTCACCTACACTGAAAAGCAGCCTTGTGCAGAGAAAGAAATCTTTTTTGTTTGTTTGTTTTTGAATTCTGAGTGGGTGAATTAAGCCTCAGAAATGCCTGCAGACATTACACCTCTCCATCCCCCACGCTGATCACAGAGATACATGAGAAGATTATCAGAGCAGACTTAGCTCTGACCAACATCCGAGGTACGACGGGATTGTTTTACAAATGCTGCCTGCCATCAAAACATGAACCAAAAAAGTGGCAAAAAATAATTTTTTACCCCAGGCCAGTTGGGTTTCCTACCGACATGCTGGCTAGATGTTTCACAGCCGTGCGGGTGCCGTGCCAACCTGCACCTGAGCGCAACCCCACGAGTGCTACACAAAGCAAAGCTGGAAACTATTTGCCTATTGTGCTGCTCAGAGCTACTTTCTGCTCAGCCCTGTGACTCTGAACATCTGCAGCCACTTTCAACAGCCTCCTCTGGCCTCTTAGCACCGGCTGCCAATTGCACCGAAGACAAAGTGTACTTGAGTTGATCCTCCAGCCACCAAGGCTGAAAATGCCTTGAGTCCTGGGGACACAGAGCAGTGTTTCTCTGAACTCTGGGCATTTCGAAGCACATGACTCGCTCCTGAGAGGATCAGGGTGAGTGGAGATGGCTTAAAGCAAAGCCATGCTCATAAAGGGCTCCCACATCCACTTCTCGAGGGCAGGCTTGCAGAGCCGCTTTCAACTTAAAATTGATGCACAGGGAAAAAGTGAAAGACACAAATGAAAAACAACAACAAAAAAACACAACGCAGTTCCTTTTGGTGACCTCAAAACCGCCTTCCTAAAATAAGAAACCAGTCATTTGTTATTCAGATGCATCGATCCATAAACGGCTGACCAGCGAGTACCGAGAGAAACTATGAATTTCTGTGTTGCTTTCATTAACTGAAAACCACAGGTAGCTGCTTGAAAGCCTCTTATCCTTTTACAATCTCCAGCAAATAAAAAAAGCGCCCTCGGAAACGTGGCACCTCAGCAAGGAGCCAGGTGAGGGATGCCCAGACTCCAGGGCCAGGTGAGGATGATCTGGGCTGCCAGCGGGACAAGCTCCCCTACCTGCGAGGCACCCAGCAGCAGCAAGCTGGGCGGAAAAGAGCCGAAAGTCTGCTCTTTCTATTTTTTCCTCCTTTTTTTCTTTTCTTTTTTTTTTTTTTTGTTTTCTCTGCCTCATGACAAAGCCCGCGGATGCGAGCAGCTACGGGAGGAGGCTGATGCAGAAACCCGGGGGGATGGCAGCAGGGGATGCAGCCCCGGGGAAGGCCTGCGGGAGCAGGGCTCCAGCCCGCACCAAACCCACGCCAGGCTGCCACGTATCAGGATACTGCATCACGGCTCCACAAATGCGGGAAGCGCCGCCGGGATGCGCACAAGCCCTGCGCCCCACGGCTCTGCCCCACGGCCCCGTCCCGGCCGGCGCGGCTCCCCCCCGTGCGCACACAAAGGGCGAGCGGAGCTCGGCGCAGCCCGCCCGCTCCTTCCTGCGAGGCGTTGCGCAAGGGGAGGTATTTTTGGGTAGAGTTCCCAGAGGAAATTACCCAACCTCTCCAAGACACCAGAAGGGAAACCTCTCGCTCGGGGAAAGCACCAGAGGGGGCGGAGGGGGGGGGTCCGCGACGCCACCCCCGAGTTGTGACACCCGTGGGGACGGGGGCTCGCCGCCCCGGGGGCGCGCACAGCGCTCGGGAAGGGTGTGGGGGCTCCGCTCGGTGCCCCCCTGCTCGCCCCGTCCCCTCCTGGCCTCCGCCACCGCGGGGGCGTCCCCGGTGCCCCCCGGGGGGGCTGTCACAGCCCGCGGCCACCGAGCCGCGGCCACCGGGGCGGGGGTCGCCGTCGGGGGGGCACTCACCCAGCAGCGGGGAGGGCTCGGGGCACGGCCGCGGCAGCAGAGGAAGCGGCGGCGACGGCGACGCGGGCTGGGGTCGGGGTCGCGGCCGCGGGTGGGCGTCTGTCGGCGGCGTCTGTCGCGACAGCGGCTGCGAGGCGTTGGCGGGGGGCGGGCGGCGCGGCGGCGGCTCGGGGTTGCGCGGCGGCCCCAGGGCGCTGCCCGCCAGGTAGTAGAGCAGCGTGGCCGAGAGGTGCAGGGCACAGAAGGCGACGAGGAGGCGGCAGGCCCGCTGCAGCGAGGTGCCGGGCAGCGACGGCTCCTTCATGCCGAGGCGCTCTGCCGCCCGCCCCGCGCCGCACCGCGCCGACGACGGGCACCGGGGGAGCGGGGCGGGGGCGCCGGCGGCTCCGCCCGGACGAGGGCGGCCCCCCAGCACCCGGTCCCGCCCGCAGCCTCCGCCCGAAACGGGGGAGAGGGGTTGGCAGCCCGGGGATGGGCAGCGGAGAGGGGTGGGGGGCTGGCGAGGCGCCGCCGGGCAGCCCGGGGTATCCCCCTCTCCGCTGTCGGGTCCTCGCGGAGGTGTCCCCTCGGAGGTGTCCCCCTGCCCGGGGGATGTCCCCGCAGCCCTGCCCGGCTCGTTGATGCCCTCAGGTGGGAGCCGTGGTGGTCAGCAAGCCGCCCGTGGCCCTGCTGCCCCCCGGGGCTGAGGATGGAGGCTGGGCGCACACGGCCCCGCCGCCACACACATACCCGGGCCTCGGGAGCGCTGCAGGGACAGCGGGGGACACCCGGGTGGTTTGCCAGGGCAATAAATAATCCTCACGACCAAATACTTACACATTTCTCGTTTCTTCCTGACACCTTCTGTGAGTAAGTCCAGTACTTAATGCTTTGCTTGAACCTGATGTTGTGAGCATCAGGATGACAATGCAGCCATCCGTGACACTAATGCTATTTATACTGATATTCTCAGTCAGCATTCAACTAAGCACCAGCTCATAAGTTGCCTCCTTGAATGAGCAAACCCATCTTTCAAACCCTCAGGACCTCCAGATATCTGCTCTGGATCAGTTTGCAAAAGGCAACCCCAGCAACATGACTCCGAGCAGAGCAACCATTCGTCAAGACTTACAGGTCAGTCCAAAGCTTCCCTGTTTCACTGCTGTCAGCAAATAATCCATGTAAATTTTGTCTTTTACTTCTTTCAGCTTTGAGCTGGCTGCTTGTTGGGAAAGTTTCTGTGACGCAGAGAGAGTCAGACCTCAACTGCAACTCAAGGTAGAGTCAATTTGATTTCCCTTCAAGCTCTTAAATATGTCATGCCATAAATTTAGCAACTGATTGCAGAAGGAGCTTGTGCAGTGTCCAGTACAAACATCATAAAGTTCGGAAGTCTTCAACATACATTTCCACATAGTTCTGTTGTAGCATCCTGCCATAGAAAGCAGCTATGTTTTGTGTGAGTGGTATAACAACTTCACTGTTTTTGCCATGAAACCACTGCTTTGCAAATGCTCAGAACAGCTTTGGAATCAGAGCAAAGCTTACAGATGAAAGCAGCCTCTGCTGCTGTTGGAGATCATTTACATTCTGTGTAGATACAGGTGTGCAGTCATGTGTGAATATGTAAATATAGGTACGCGCAGTTAAGTACATAATGACACACTTTTTATTTTTTTATTACAGCACAGAGGCAAGATGTTCCACTGAATCAGAGAATAAGGAAATAGAAATGCTTGTCTTAAAGGATAAACGCTTTCGTGCTTGCCCTTAGGCTCTCATTCGCTCCGCAAGTTGTCCCTCTCCAGCCAGCAGTCTCCACCCTGGCCCAACCTTAATTCTTGTTCTCAGAGATTTGACTTTGCTATCTTATCAAATCAGCTTCACGGTACTACAGATGTTATTTTCTGGTGAAGGTAATTTTTAGCCTTTTTTGTCCTTGCAGATAACCGGTATGTAACTACACTGCTGTGCCGCACACGGGCATGTCTGCCAGTCCACCATGCCTGACGACTTGTAGCTCTGATTTTAATCAAACTTGGCAGTTGGAATAGATCATAAACACCCAACATGCGTGCTGAAACAAGCCACTGGGGTGCAACAGCGTGAAGGTTCGCTGATATGTGGCGAGACATTCGTGGCATTAAAGTACGAGGAGCAGTAGGGAGGTTATAAGCCCCATCACCCCCAAAGAGCAGCAAAGTCCTTGAGGGGCTCAGCAGGATCCAGGACAGGACATGAATATGTGCCAAAGCAGGGTTTGCAGGTGCCACAGCCAGCAGGAGGATCCGCAGAAGTCTGGTCTGTCCCTCCGTGCCCTGCCAGTGTCCTTGTGCTGCCCATGGGGGTACCACACAGTGCCCACACGGACAGGCCTGTGCACCCACCATGGTGGTACGAGACCAGGGGGCAAATCCTCAGCCCCTCCACAGCCGTGGGTCACCGCGGCCTCTGAGGTGTGCGAGATGCCAGGGATGTCAAATCAGTACTGGCTCTGCAGAAAGAAGCCCCGGGGGAGGCTAGACAATAAGCTTTATCTACAATTCGCAATGGTCACTACTCTAAATAAAGGCTTGAAATGGGTCCAGCCTTGCAGAGTGCAAGATTTCATGTCTGATGGCATCTTGCAAACCTGGAAGTCTTTTTGCACGTGTCCTGCCTAATTTCTACCACTGAAAGAGTGGGCGATGCCACCTGCCACCTGCTTTGCCTCCTGTGGGCTCTGCTGGACACCGAGGGCATCCTGCACTTGTGACAAGTAAAGTGTGTGAGCCTGTATGTACTTACAGCCCCACGGGGTGAATTTCCCCCTTTTCTTTCAGTTGTAGCCAGTCCTGTGGCAAATGCACTTGTGCATCTTTTCAGCTGGGTAGTGTTGAGCCATGTTTGAGATCCTATTTTGTGTGCTCACCTTGGGGGAGAAGTGGGGATGCTCCTCTTCAAGAGGCTCAGGGGAAACCTGCTGGAGAACAGGCAGGTGCCTGCAAAGCTTTGGTGGTCAAGGGGTGCCAGAGGAAGAACTCATTTCACCTATAGAGAGACTCGTCAGCCAGGAGCCATAGTCTACCAAAAGTTGAAGTGAAGGGCATCCATCAGTCATTAATCTCTGGCATTTTTAACCTGAATGGCTCCTTTGCCTGGGTTAGCTGTAGCAGGGTGCACAGCAGTGTGGCTCAGCCCGAGGCCTGGTGCCATGCACTTCCCTGTCTAGCAAGCAAAATAAGTTAAACGGAGCTTGCGAAAGCCTGGCTGCAAAGCCAGCTCAGGCTGGGTCACTGCTGCACTTGGTCAGTTCCTCATCAGGCTTATCTTCTGTTGTTTTGGCTAGCTGCTGTAATACTCCTATAGCATACAAATCAAGTTGTGTGTTACGGCAGTGTAAACGTAAATCCATTACAAGGGTGCTTGTCATTATCAGCAGTGCATTTCTTGGTTATGCACTGTGTTGCCTCCTGAGACAGAGAGCGACCGGCGCAGCAGCTGTCCATAGGTGCCAGGACCTGGCTCTGCTGACGAACAGCCTGTTTTCCAGAGCAGAATATGGGATGCAGGTTGGATGGAAAGGTGTGGTTTGGTGCCAATGGCTGGCCTCATTTCACCTGACAGCTTCACAAAGGAGAAAGTTTGCCTTGGCACTGAGGCTGCTCAAAATCAAGCTGTTTGCAATGCTTCTGGTGCTGCTGTGGTCCATCAGCACAGATGCAGATGGCTGTAATGTGAGGGTAAAAAAGGAAAGAAAAAAAAAAAAAAGAAAAAGCAGGAATCAAAAATCAATGGAGGATATTGCTTTCTGAGCCTAAATAATGTGCTGTGTAAACAGCAAAGTTCACTGCAAATTTTGAGAGGAATAGAAACCAAAAGCCACAGGAATGTGCGGGAAGAATGAGAATGGTTTTCACGGTTGCTGACAATGCCCTTTTGTCTGATGACGTGTGAGGTGGCTCCCTCTGGGTGTTCCTGGGTACATACCCTGAGGATCTGGACACCCATCCCTGACGTGGGAGCACTGGGAAATGGGAAAGTCAACACCGCCTTTACGCTGCCAAGGAGCTGCAGGGCAGTTGCAAATCCCCTGATCAAATTCAGCCTCCTTGGCCAGCCGCTCCTTGTCACAAGGATCTCCCAGGGGACCTGGGAGGGATGGGTGTCCTTGGATGTCCTCGGCTCAGGTGTGAGCCACGGGGGACTTGCGACCAGCTGTGGTGACTGGTGGGCAGCGAAGACAGGGGAAAAGGTGGTGTGAGGATGCTTCCCCTCAGCCTGCTGCTTCCCCAGCTCCTGTGGCCGGGGCTTGGTGGGAATCTCTGCCTTTCTCCTGCTAGGAATCACCTTGGCCCTTGGCCCTCAGGTGGCAGGAACGGGAGCGGCTGGGAGCGGTTGTCCCTGTATTCATCTGGCCTTGTGCTCGCAGCCCGCAGTGTCACGGGGAATTTCTGAATCACCGGAGGAATTGCGAGCGTAGCTCGCTGCCTGCCACGTGGGCGTATTTACCCACAGCAGCCGGGCAGCAGGGAGGCGGCTGAGGCTGTGGGATGGATCCAGCGGGTCCCATTTCCCGGCCGGTGGTGACGGTGGCTCCCCTCTGGGTGACGCAGGGTGACCTGCGCAGGGCAGGTGGGTTTTTGGCTTCCCGGTACATCCCAAGGAAAACCTCTGGGCACCTGCACGCCTGCTTTTCTGCATGTGACACAGCGAGTCCTTCTTCCTCCTGCTCACGAAGGAGAGGCAGAGCAGGGATGACCATCGTTGCTGTGAGGGCCACCTGGAGGCAGGGAGGGAGCTAAGGATGGGCATGACCATGCCACTTGCTGTCTTCTTTATAGTTTCCCTCCTGGCATGATGGCACAATGTGCTGTGTGCCCTGGCTTGGGTCAAGCAGGGCAGCCCTCTGTCCTGTCACAGCTTCACTGCTGGTGGTCCCTGGTGCTGAAGGGGGTAAGCACGTAAAAGCACTGGGGGGGAGCAGCAGGGCAGGAGTTAAAGCACCAGTGCGAGCGGGGGTCCAAAAGCAGGTGCGAAGGTGACAAATAACAGAGAGGAAGCCTCGGGGGCTGGGCAGAGCAGCGATGACATCAAGGCCACGCTGCCGATAAGGCCGCCAGGCAGATGTGGAGCAAGGGTGATGTGACGCAACTCGAGGCTGCAGGTCTGCAGACACCGCGGCCCCGCGGCAGGCGATGCGCTGCGTCAGAGCTGGGCACGGCAGAAGGTGTCCCTGCCAAAACACCTGTGACAGAGGGGACGAAGGGCTGGGCCTGAAGGCGTGGCTCTCCCGTGTGCAGCCGGAGCAACGTGGAGCAACGCTGCGGCACGTGGCCACCAGGAAGCCTCCTGTTGGTCCCAAGGAAGGACTTTGTGGACTCGGATGAGGGTGGCAGGGCCTTGCAGAGAGACCTGGACAGATTGGAGAGCTGGGCGATCACCATGAAGTTTAACAAGAGCAAGTGCCAGGTCCTGCACCTGGGACGAGGCAACCCTGGCTGTATGTACAGACTGGGCGATGAGATGCAGGAGAGCAGCCCCACAGGGAGGGATCTGGGGGTTGTGGTTGACAGCAAGCTGAATATGAGCCAGCAGTGTGCCCTGGCAGCCAGGAGGGCCAACTGCATCCTGGGGTGCATCAAGCACGGCATTGCTAGTAGGTCAAGGGAGGTGATTGTCCCACTCTACTCTGCACTGGTGCGGCCTCACCTCGAGTACTGTGTGCAGGTCTGGGCACCACAGCACAAGAAGGACATTAAACTGTTGGAGAGTGTTCAGAGGAGGGTGACAAAGATGGTGAAGGGCCTAGAGGGGAAGATGTATGAGGAGCGGCTGAGGGCACTGGGACTGTTCAGCCTGGAGAAGAGGAGGCTGAGGGGGGACCTCATCGTGGTCTACAACTTCCTCACAAGGGGGAGTGGAGAGACAGGTGACCTATTCTCCGTAATCACCAGTGATAGGACCCACAGGAATGGTGTTAAGCTGAGTCAGGGGAAGTTTAGGCTGGACATCAGGAAGAGGATCTTCACCAAGAGGGTGGTCGCACACTGGAACAGGCTCCCCAGGGACGTAGTCACTGCACCAAGCCTGTCTGAATTTAAGAAGAGATTAGACTGTGCACTTAGCCACATAGTCTAAACTTTTGGGCAGACCTGTGCGGTGCCAGGAGTTGGACTTGATGATCCTTACAGGTCCCTTCCAGCTCGGGTTATTCTGTGATTCTGTGATTCTCCCTCTGTGATCTGAGGGGCAGGACTCTTCATCAGGGGCTCCAAGGCTGTGCTTGAAGACAAAGTGGAAACAGGCAAAGCCATCCCACAAACAGTGGTTTCCCCTTCGTCATGCCTCCGTGTGTCATTTTAACTTCGCTGCTGCTGTCTTTGTAGGGCAGGGCCCTCTAGGGCTTTGCCATCAAGCCGTGCAGATGGCAGGGCCGTCCCCACCGCCTGGTCAGGGTGGCCGTGGCGTTGTGGGCGGCTCAGTGAGGATGGAGACCCCCCGCCTCCCTGCTGGTCTGGTCGCTCACCCTCCTGGGTTTCCAACACCCAGCCTGAGCTCGTGCCCGCTGTTTTTGTCGCGTCACCTGGGGTGATCAAGAAGAGATTGGCTCCTCCAGCTTCATAAGTGCCCTTCTGCTGGGTGTAGGCCGCTATCAGATCTCCCCGGTACTAGACTAAACAACCACAACAGCCCCCCCCCCCCCCCCCCCATGCCTCAGGAGCAACTGCTAATGCAGTTAAATATTTACTTTAGTTGAGGGATTTCCAAAGTGGAATAATAATAAAAACCAAAGGTTATTGAACTGCATAAACTCCTTGAAGAGAGAATATAAAACATGTGCACAGCCATCTAAATGTCGCAGAGGCATGTTTCTGCAAGGGGAGTCCTGAAGCTATTTGTCCTCAGAAACAACCTTGCTCCTTCCCAAAACCTGGCCACAGTCGTGCTGAGGCAGGTACTGCAGGGAGACAGGAGGATGAGAGCCCACGGCCTGCAGGCCCATGCTGGGCTGTGCCCCCATGGCCACAGGGGATGTTCACCAAACAGTTCCTGCTCGTCTCAGCCGACCAGGGCCGGCACGTACTGTGATAAGCCTCAGCTGAGACCACGGGGGAGAAATATCCTGAGAATGGTCACGGCTGGCTCCTCGGCAAGTGCACGTGGTGCTGTGCCTTACTGGAGCTCTGCCAGCCTGTCGGTGGCTTCTCTTGGGACACCTACCCTGCACACAAAGCCAGGGTGCAAGAGACCCTCTGCCACTGCCGGCCCAGGATGAATGTGGGCACATCTGTCCCAGAGGAGATCTAGTCAACAGTGGTCTTCAGCTATGGACTTTCTGGTACTCTTTTCCATCCTTCTCCCTGTATCAGTTGACCTCCATTCACCTGAGGAAGGTGGTGATGTGGATGCGGGAAATTCATTTTCTCAGGAAGAGGCAGCGAGGATGCTCGCATGAAAAGACTGATGTCAGGCATGCATTTACAGAGGTGAAACAGCAGGGGTCTTCTGGAGTGGTGGTCCTTGCTGAAAAGTCCCTCAGTGGAAAATCCTGAAACATCCTTGTTCGGGCCATGGCACAGCCAACCTAATCAACACAGATTTTGCAGCTTTTTGTACATGATGACTCCCAGTCTAAATGGAGCTCTCTGTTGTGTACGCATCTCAGACTCACAGAATACCTTGAATTGGAAGGGACACACAAGGATCATTGAGTCCAGCTCCTGGCTCCACACAGGACCACTCCAGAATCAACCCATGTGTCTGAGGGCGTTGTACAAACACTCCTTGAACTCCAGGAGCTCGCTGCCATGACCACTGCCATGGGCAGCCTGTCCCAGTGCCTGGCCACCCTCTGGGTGCAGAACCTTTCCCTAACCCCCAGCCTGACCCTCCCCTGTCCCAGCTCCATGCTGATCCCTCAGGTCTTGTCGCTGTTCAGCAGAGAATGAAGAATGGCAGCTGCAAAGCCAGAGGGCTGATCTGGGGGAAACATGCCCAGAGGAAGGGTGGCTGGGTGGGAGAGAAGAGCAGCATCGCCCGGCCACTACAGCGCAATGGGATTTAATAACAGCCTCCACCAGTGCCAGCACCTGGAGCTGACACGCTGCGGTTTATCAGCCGCGTGAAAGCAGCCAGGTCTCCCTGAGTGCACAGTTGGCCCATTCCCAGTGCAGGTCAAATGCTGCTCAAAATGCTGCTTTTCCCAGTGCCGCTGAGATAAGCCAGCACCCTCCCCTATAAAAGCCACTACGAGCACAGCGAGGTGCACGAGCGCATGTGCCTGGTCCGGCCATGCCCACCAGGGAGCTGCTGGGGCTGGCGGTGGTGCTGGTGGCTCTCATCACCACCAGCGGTAAGTCCTCTCTGCTGCCGGGAGACAGATCCTCAATGGCAGGTTGGGAGAGACCAAAAAATGGGAAGGGAGGGCAGAAAAAGTACCCCAAACAAACAGAAAGTCTGTTTTGGAGAGGAGGCGAGGGGGACAAGGCAACACAGAGGAGGTGTAGTGGGGTGGGAGAAGGAGGACCGGAGCAAACACTCTGCTCCTGGTGCAGGGTGCTCCTGCCGTGTGTTCTGTGCTCGGTGGAGCTCCTGGTGCAGAGCCTGGGAGGGAGAGCTGTGGGAGAGGGGCTTGGTGATGGCGTTGATGAACAGGCATTCGCATCTTGGCCCCTCTGTCAATGGCTCGTGCTCCTGCTGCTGGTTCTTGCTGGAAAGGCTGGTCACAGGCATTGCTTAATCCCCCCTGTGCCAACCTCTCGGGTCTCTGCTCTGTTTCAGGGGCAGAGCTGGATGAAGGGAATGGCCTAAGAAGGGTAAGAGATTTCCATATGCTCTGGCTCATGGCTTCATATCAGATCTGGCTGCCTCGGTGCCCGGCATGCCTGGGAGAAAGGCTGTTCCCAGAAAGTGCACCCAGCCTCTGTGTGCAGGCCCTGCCCTGTGCAGAAGGGATGCTCTGAGCCGCCGTGCCACCAGCTCCAGCCACACTCGCTGCTGCCCAGATGCTGTGGGAGGAAGAGGGGGGAGCTGCTGTTTCTGAAATGTTTGCTGTGGTTTCTCCCTTCCAGCCGGTGTGCGGAGAGATGGCTGAGCTGCTGGCCTGCCCCCTGGTGAACTTGCCTGTCTGTGGCACCGACGGGAACACCTACGCCAATGAGTGCTTGCTCTGTGTGCAGAAAATGTAAGCTCATGCCCTGGGCAGAGGCCTCCAGGGGTCTAATTTTAGCCGTCTGAAAGCGGGCACTTGTCAAACACCGTGGGAAAGCCACAGCACATGGGAAACACGCAGAGGCCTGCCAGCAAAGTGGACTTTTTTTTTTTTTTTTTTTTTTTTTCATCAGCTGAGCCTGGCTTTGCAGCCTTGAGCTTCACCTCTCCATGCTGGCAGTGCCCGAGGACAGGCACAGGAATGCCCCTAGCTCTTGCAGGTGTTGTCTCCTTCCTTGGCAGCGCATTTAGGGACCACACAGCTAAATCTCCCCTCTTTTAGTGTAAAACTCTCACCCCCTGTCCTCTCACTGCACCCCCTGACATAGAGTCCCTCCCTCCCCAGCTTTCCTGCAGCCCCCTTTAGGCACGGGGAGCCCTCTGCAAGGTCTCCCTGAGGCCTTCTCGTCTCCAGGCTGCACAACCCCAGCTCCTTCAGCCTGTTTTCACAGGAGAGGTGCTCCAGCCCTCTTCTGGACCCTCTTGAAAAGGCCCAGGGCTTTTTTGTGCTCTAGAGGGGAGATCTGGACCCAGCAGACAGGTAGACCAAGCAGCTAGTCTGCACAGGCAGGGACCTCTGAGTACAGGCACCCAGCCACGTGCCTCACGGCTTTTGGCAGCCTTTCAAGCCACGGGGACCACCACAAATTTGGGCAACAGGGACCTCTTGAGGGCACCCAGGGAGCTTCAGATGGGACACGGAGGAAAGCCCTGCCCCAGGAGGGTGGTGCAGGGTCCTCTGCAGCCAGACGTCCACACACACAGGCAGGGAGGGGAGCTCTACAGGACGGGGTGGCTTGCAGACATCTCACCTTTTTTTAAGACGTAAAAATGAACAAACCGATTTCTGAGTAAATGCTCAGATCTAGACAGGCTAGGTGGGAGACCAAGCGTGACTCCAGGGAACATTTTTTTCAAGCTTGTTGCTCTCTTTCCCTACATTATTCTAGGAAAACCAGGCAAGACATCCGGATTTTGAATAACGGGAGGTGCAGAGATACCTGAGCTTTCTAGTGGCTTTCCTGAGGCTGGAAACAGGTGATTAATTGATCCTGTGTGCTCTGTGCAGATCGAACGTTTCAGCCAGGGATGGCGAATAATAAAATTACATGCATAATCATATTTCAACAGCATTATTTTTATGGGGGAAAATGACACAAGCCAGTTCCTACAAAGGGCTACTAAAAGCGTGTAGTCAAAACATTAATTTCAAATCCGTGCTGCATACAGGGCTCTGCACTGTGTGTATTATTTCTCCCACATTCCTTGGAGAAAGGACATGTGGGAGTAGCGAGAAGCACACATAGCTTTGAGATCCTGGTGAAGGCGGTGCTGAAAAAATACAGTTTTCTGTAGGAGGCAATTTATCAAAGGGAACCTAAAGTTTCTCCAGTGTGGGCGTCGACAGCCTTCTCTCCAGCTCTCTAATAACCACCTTTCCTTCCAGAGCTGATGCAAACTGAAAACAGCAGCATTTGCACTTGTCATATGAGATGCTATTTAGCTTTTCACCTGAGACTGCTCCACAACAGGAGGCAGCCCAGATAACCCACGGGAGCACTGAATGAGCCGAGTGGAGACCCTGAAACTCCAAGGGGTCACCCCCAAGCTGAACCGATCCCCCGGGCTGCTCCCGGGGAACAGCACGTCCCAAAGAGTGCCAAGTTCTGGCTCTAGGTTGCTCTTCGTGTCAGGGCCAATTTTTGGCACTGCAGTGCAGTATGATCCAGCGCAGGCAATGCTTGTTGTCATCAGCCACCCATGGGGCTCCCTCTGCTCTTTCATCTCCTGCTTTTACTAGCTGTGACGTGACTCATCTTTCAATAAATACCTGTCACTGCGTTGCACAGCTCGATTACGCAAGGGATTCCCTTGGCTCGTGGTGGCAGAGGTCAGAGGACGCTGGCTAATCCGAGGCTTTCCTCCTGAACTCGGTGCAGCTCTGCTCCAGATGTTGTGTCTCTGGAGCACTCGTTGGGATTTTTTTTTTTTTCCTTTTTTTTTTTTTTTTGGCATAGCTTCAACAAAACATTGGGTTGCTTTGAAAAGATCATCCGGTCCAACCGTCCCCCTCCCACCAATGACACCCACTAAACCATGTCCCTAAGCACCACGTCCAACCCTCCCTTAAACACCCCCAGGTTTTTAATGTGTGCTGACACACACCAGCCCCTTAGGGGTTTGAGGAAAGTGAGCTCCCTACGTGTCAAGTCAGCTCCACAAACTCAGTGGCCACCCCGTGAGTCTGGGACCTGTGCCAGCATCATGCCACCGTGCTCGGCCAGCCAGTCATGTCCATCCCCACACCCAGACACCCTTCTCCTGGTTCTGCTCCCTCCTGTGACCTCCCTGTGGGACACTGCAGCCCTGCAATGCAAGACAAAGCCAGCAGTGACAAGATTTAACGTGACACAGCCGTGCTCAGTCAGACTGGAGGTCCTGCTGACCTGTTGTCCCCAGCACAGCGACCATGAGCAGACAGCAAGAGCAAATACCTTCAGGAGGGTGTGTTAGGGGGGTAATTAGGTGTGCACAGAGCCCTGGGATTTCAGCTGTTTTCTGGTCTGGAGGCAGTTGCTGTCATCTGAAGTTCTTCCCTGCCCTGGTCTTGTTGCTGTCTGAAGCCCTATCAGCAACTATCACAAGGTCAGCACAGAGGTCTGCTGATGTCTGCATGCTGGAAACAGCAGCTGCCCCCGAACCAAACCATCTCCTCCCACCTGCCTTCATCTTGCTGTTGTTCCCCATGACTCGAAGTCTGCCTCTCCACAGGTGCTGCCCCTAGCTGCTGATAGCTGTCCAGAGCTTTGAGCATCCCTCTTGCCCTTCTCTAGGTGCTTTCCACTTCTGCAGGTGTGGGGACCACAGCTGCACGCAGGTTGTCTGTGTGTAGTGCCATCACTGCGCCCCTCGTTCCCTTGTCCCACCAGGACAACCCTATCAGCTGGAAGCACATTTCCCCCTTCCAGTCCTCAGCTGGGGAGGGAGAGGCCAGGGGATCAGGGGATGATCTCCTGCATTGCCAGCGAGCCGCAGGAGGTGTCCCCTGCACCTCGGGGAAGGGTTCAGTGGGGTTTTGGACAGCGAGTGCTGGTGAGCACACAGCTCCATCACCCTGCTCTCCCCTGCACCCTGGGGCACCCCTGTGGGCAGGACACAGCAGGGCAGCTCTGCCTGCTGGGGGTCCGTGCTGGTGCGGGGCCAGCGGCACCTCAGCCCCAGATGGGACAGGGGAGCAGGTCTCGAGCTGCATGGAGCGAGGGCAGCCCGCCAGCGCCGTGCTGCGCATCCCCCCGGGAGCCCGCTCTGTTTGTTTGCACGGGACGGGAAAAATCAACAGGGATGGCTCGGCGGCTCTTCTGAAGAGGGAAGCCACACGCCCGCAGCACAGCACGGCGTGTTTACCCATGGGCTGCAGGGCTCTGGGGCACGCTCCTCGCGGGCCAGACCTTCAAGGTCAACGCGTGGGCAGCCCCAAGGCAGGGTCGGTGCTGGATCGCTGCGTGGCGGATGCGGCAGCACGCGCCCTCCCCGGGGACCGGTGGGCTTGGCTGTTTATTTAATGCAGCGAAAGAGCCAGGCGAGGCGAGGGGTGTAATTGTAAAACCACCACAGGCTGCAGGGGATGGCAGGGTCCAGCCTGGTGCAGAGAGCCTGGCTCGAAAGCCTGGCTTGGTCAGGAGAGACGGGAGGAGCTAGTGGCAGCAGGACTGTGGCAGGGCAGACGTGTTACCCTGGCCACAAAGGTCTTGCTCCTGCTGGAGTACACAAATTCATGTTTATTTTTTGCATATTTCTGCCTGTTGGATTTATTCATCCGTCTCTTCATGCCTCAGTCGCAGAGGGTGTCCTCTGCTCCCACAGGCACCAGAGCTCAGCCTAGAGCAGCAGCTGGTGGCCCTGCGCTTGGAGAAGTGCCGTGCACCATCAGGCAGGACAAAACTGGAAAATGTGCCCTGGCACCCTGCATGACAGCCACATAGCTCCCCGTGCTGATCCTCGGGGTAACTTCAGGGCTGTGCCGGTCCCTACAGGAGGGACAGGCATGTCTCTGGGTGCTGCCATGCTGTAGCAATGCCAGGCAGAGGGGAAACAAGGGTGAAGCTCAGAAAGCACTCTGGTGAGGGTTCCCCAGGTCTCCATCGAGGAAACTGGGGCTTAGAGCCCGTCTGTCCTGTTAAGTACCTCAGAAGACTCCAAGGGCACAGCAGCTCTTTCATTTATGAACGATATTGAGGAATTTATCGTTTTCCACCCAGCTGGAAAGAGGCTGGAGTGGAGTAAACACTCGCAGCACCATCTCTGCGGTGCCCCGTGGCACTGTTTTGCTGAGTCAAGAGCAATTTATCAGACCTCAGCAGGCTCTGGAGCAGCTGCGTGCTTCTCCCCAACAGGAGGTGCGAGGGGTGAGAGGCTGAGCTCAGACACAGCCCGAGCAGGTGGAGCTGCTCGGCCGTGGTGCTGAAGCTCGTAGATGTGAGCTCCTCAGCACCATGCCCATCCCCATGTGTGCCGCAGCCCCTTGGTGCTCGCTGGGCAGCTGGTGCTGGTGGACCTGCAACAGCCACATGTCACATCACCTGCAAGCAGCCCGGGGATCCCAGGGTATTCCCAGCTCACACGGGGGCAGCATCCCACGAGAGAGGGGTTCCGGGATGTGTGTGTGAGGCAGGGTGTCCCCGGGGCCACGCAGCGCCAGGCAGAGCTCAGCACACCGAGCAGGGAGCACACCTTGCCTCCGCTGGTGACCGAGACCCAGGGAACTCCCCAAAAGTGACTTGGAAGCTCCACATCTCTGCGTGCCAGTCACGCTCCTCACCCACCCTCCCGTATCAGAGCCTCCCCACATCTGCCTGGCTGCCACCACCCTGCCGCTTCCCTCAGGCCTCCGCAGCCCGCCCTGCCCCATGTGAGGCACGGAGTAATCTGCAGTGGACACCGGGGAGGAGGCCTGGGGAGAAGCAATAACTTGGGGGGGGGGTAGGCAGAAAGGCAGTGGAGATGACCAGGGCCCACCAGGTTACACCCCAGGAAACCCACCCGCATCCAGCCTGGAGCTTGCTCTGGAGGTTTTCAGGATCCTCACCTCATCTGATGTGCAGGGAGCCAGGGCACAGTGCCCTGGGGTCCCAGCCGCACGGACCCTGCTGACCAGCCCATCCTGCCCCTCAGGGAGCAGGGTTTCGGGGCTGAAGCCAAAATAAGCATCAGAAACTTCCCCCTGGCAGCCACACGATGGTCCTGCAGAGCCTGAGTGGGCCTTCGGGCTGGGCAGGTGTGGGGCTGCAGTGGGACCGGGGCAGATAGGAGCAGCCACCAAAGGAGAGCCTCTGGTGGGAGCAAGAGCCTGGCTGGGTCTTCCCAGTGGCTTTTTTGGGGACTGCCCTCCACCATCCTGCTTCACAAGGGATATGCTTTGCTCGTAGGTGTCCCACTGGGTGCGGGACATCAGGAGCTCCTCAGCTCATCCAGCCCCTGGGGGGTCCCTCTGTGGACTCCTTATTTTATCTGGGTTCCCCAGGAAGGTGTTGCAGCCCTTACACAGGTCACCCGAATTTGGCAGTCTCCAAATAATGCCATAAGACATCCTTATGGCCATCTGAAACGTACGGTGCCACTCTCCCGTGCTCCACCCCAGCTGCAGGAGCTGGAGGTCCCTTCCCACCACCACTCGGACCCTCTTGCGAGCAGCTTCCCAGCAGCTCATGTCCCGGCTGGGGTCTCACGAGAGCGATGGAGAGTCCCCCAACACCTCCCTGCCTCTCAGGCGGCGAGGCCGTGGGGCATCCTGCCCTGCCAGGCAGCTTCTCCCCGCTCTGAAGGAAAGCATCGGAGCCGCGGCTTGGCAGCGGCGAGCGCTTGCTTCCTATCTGAAGCGGAACTGCTGTTTAGAAACACTGGCGCGTTCTGTAGACCACACAGTAGGTCCTGAGCAGGCTCTCACACACCTTTGCACTGTGATAAGGGGAGTATTATTACTCTAGTAGTGGCCTGTAAAGATAAGCTCTTTGGGGCGGGCAGTCTGCTTTTTTTTTTCCAAGCTCTCATTCTGCCGCACCAGTAGCTCCAGATTCTTTTCCCGGGGAAATAAGCTGCTTTTTACTTAAACCTGTGGAGACTGATGGAAAGTTTAGGTAAGACCTTGCTCTATACAGCCCCTTCCCTGCTACCCTCTACAGCTCCTGAGGAGCATGCTGTGCCAGGTAATGCTGACCCTACTAACTTTTTTTTTTTTTTGGAGGGAGGAGAGAATGATCTTTGTCACTAGCGGTTTCCAAAAAAGAAGTTAATAATTAACCGGTGTATGGCTGGGCGATGGAGGATGCGCAATTAACTGCAAGTGCATATGGCTTTTTCTGTGTCGTGTTGCAGGTCACGAAGACAGAAGCACCTATAAAGGCTCTACAGCTCAGAAAAAGTTGCTGAGGCAGTGCCAATACAGTGCCTGCCTGCAGGCTGAGAGTACTGTCTCACCGTTCTTCTAACCTGATGGATTTTTTTTCAGCTCATCTCTGTATCTTTACATCCTCTGCTAAATAACTTTTCATTGGGGTGCAGGTGTTTTAGTGTTTTTTTTGTTTTTTTTTTTTTTTTGTTTTTTTTTTTTTTTTTTTTTCCCTGCCTGGTGCTAGTGGGTGGCTCACAGCTTTGGAGCAGCTCTGGGAGTGCTGTGTGGGACCATCTGGAAATGAATGAGGGGTGTTCTCTGGCTGTGCAGAGCAATTTGCTTTGGGTGGGTTGGGAAGGAGACCGACTGCATGCAGCTAGAAGTGCTCATGTGGCTCACAAGGTGTTTTGAAAGGAAGTTACACTGAGTGCTGCAAGGGGATGTGCAAGGTGGGTAGTTAAACCCGAGCACTGTGCAGATCTGCTGCTTGTAACCTCACCTTCCTGCCTTTTCCCCTGTGGATGGCAAAACCTCCTGCCGGCTGTGCTATCTTTGATGCTGCTTCACCTCGGGAGACAGCCTCCCAGCTGGAGAATGCCTGCGCATTCCCCTGCACAGCTGCACCCTGCGCAGTCCAAGTGCAGCGCTCTCTGTCTCGGAGGCTCTGGTCGAGCCGAGATACCTTTGCCATCACTGAGAAACTTGGGCACTGCGTGTGTATCTGGTGGCTTTCACATCTAAATTGCACCCTGTTGCTCCCCTTCCCGGCAGCCTGGATAGGCTGCAGGGCTTGTGGGAGAGGGTTTGCCTCCTCTTCTCGTCTCTGCTGTGCTCGGAGCAACAGGGGCTCCTGGAACGAGAAAGTAGCTGTTAGAAGAACAGAAAAGCAAAGAGTCAACAACAGAAAGTAGGGTTATATTTGTTTTTTTTGTGGTTGTGACAGTGGCTGCTGTCGTTGTTAGAAAGCACGTGGAGTACCATGCCCAGATTTGGGCAGTTCAGCAGAAAAAAAGACAAAGCCACGCTGGCATGAGTGCAGTGCACAGCCACCAAAGCTGCTGAAGGCTGCAGCAACTGGCATGCGAGGACAGAGGGAGCTGGGGTTGTTTAGACAAGGAAAGAAGCGGTTGAGAGGGAGATGTTGCAGCCTCTCTATCTAGTAGGAGTCACGGAGGAGAGACTTTTTGAAAAGGTGCACCGGGAAAGGACGGAAGGCACCAGATCCATGCTGCAAACGTGGCTGGGTAGAAAGGAGAAGCTTTCACAGGGAGAGTGGTGGAGGGAGCAGGAAGGTGGCCTGTGAGGTTTTCCCAGCATCTCTGGATAAGGCTCTGAATAACCTGATGAGATTTTAAAACTGGTCCTGCTTTGAACAGGTCACTGGGACAGAGGCCCTCAGGGAATCCAGAGACTCTTTCCAAGCTAAATTTCTCCACAATAGTTATTAGTTATCAGAGGTGTCCTGTGTACAGACCTATTTTGAGCAGAGGTTGGCTTTTATTTTTTTTTATTTTTATTATTATTATTATTTTTGGTTGGTTGGTTGTTGTTTCAGTTGATTGTGTGTGCGTTTGTCCTGTCCTGGGCTGTGACTTTTCTCACATTTAACTCAGACATCTGGGATACAAGAGCTGTGGGAGGGAAGTCCTTTCCACCTTGCCAATTGTCCCAGCTAGGCTAAAGAATGACAAAATGACAATTTCTCACTCATTTGACCTTTTATGTTAATGTGAGCAGAGCCTGTTCAGTGGAAGAAGCTGGCTCTGATTACACCTGTGAGGAGCAGGACATCGTTTGGTTGTTCTTTCGATGTGCGGGATTTGTTGAAACTATGAAAAGCAGTGCTTTTGTGATCTGCTCAGTGTACGTGTGGGAAGACTCTCCTCTCCCTGCAGGCTCCAAGGAAGTGGTATTCCTGCTGGTATTGCTACTGCCCCTTTTCCTCAAGGAAATGGTCTCTTGTTATTTGACCTCAGCCAGGTCTTAATAAAGACTCCACGAGCCAGAGTCCAAGCTAGAAAATCTGGGGCTGACCAGATCAGAAACCATCACACCTACTGCTACGTGACGAGGGGTGCTTTTGGTTAGGATCAGGGCACGGAGGGAGGCTCAGTGAGGCTGGGGGATTCATTTGCCAAGGTGTAGGTGGCTGAGATATCCCTGTCTTGGGAAGCTATATGGAGCCCTTCTAGCCTTGGTCTGGAAGCACAGCACCCCACGTAGTTTTGTATCGAGACCTGCTTCATGGCAAAAAGAGCCAGGTCACTTGCACCCATGCTCTGTGAGCACACGGGGCTCGCCTCACCCCATGGCTGGGCCGTCGTGCTCACCCTCCTCTTGTCTTTGTAGGTGCCACCACCCGACGCGGCTTGAGAGACCGGGAGATGCTGCGGAAGAGAAAAGAAGAAGCCCAGGAGAAGGATTCGGTTCAGTGGGCTTTAGGGTAAAAGTTGCTTATGCTGTCAGGCGTTTTCCTGAGCCCAGGCACGGTCTTCACATGAGGACAGAGCCTGGCAGGGCCCCCTGTGTCCTCTGCAAGGAGAGGCCCTGGCTGGCACAGGTGTCCCACGGCCAGTGGGACCAGCTAAAGGTCTGGGCTGGCACAAGGGGGCTGAGAGAGACGGAGGTGGTCACACAGGCGGTGGGTTTGGTGGCAAGCAATCCTCAGCCACGGCACGGGGCGGGCTGAAAAACGGTGTCCAAACCCCCACAGCCTGATTCAGCCACACGCAGTCCCCACGCAGAGCACCCCAGTCTCCACTGGGGTGTACTGGTTGGGCACACACACCCCCTGCATGTGCCCAACCCTTTGCCCATGTGAAATACCCCCAACAGGGAGCAGGAGAAGATCAAGCGGCCAAGAAGAGGAGCTGGAAGAGGACGGCGCCGCCGGTCCGAGGTGAAGCCAGAACCAGAAGCCGTGCTGAAGTCAGAACTAGAGCCGGACCGTGAGCCCCTGGCGCACAAGGAGGCTGTGCTGATGCCTGCCGTGCCAGCACACCAAGACCAGCCACCCATGGTGGGCACCATACAGCAGGAGACGCCCGATGAGGTGCAGATGGGAGCACTGGAGGGAAACGTGGCATGTGGGAGCCAGGCTGCTCTGAGTGATCTGCCATCTGGGAGCCAGATCCCTCTGGGCAATCTGCCATCTGGGAGCCAGATCCCTCCGAGTGATCTGCCATCCGGGAGCAAGTGTCCTCCAGGTGATCTGCCATCTGGGAGCAAGAGTCCTACAGGTGATCTGCCATCTGAGAACCAGAGCCCTCTGCTTGATCTGCCATCTGGGAGCCAGAGCCCTCTGCTTTACCTGCCGTCTGGGAGCCAGAGTCCTCTGGGTGAGCTGCCGTCCCCACGGGGGTGTGCGGGCCCATGGGTTGGGGCTGTGGGGGCAGATACTGCTCCCCAAGTCATGGGGAGGGACAAAAAGCCCTCTGCAGTCAGCAGGGTGATTGGCTCGGGGTCTGTGGTTGCTGGTCCTAAACAGCTCGTGTGCTAAGGACGTCTCTGTGGGCTTTCTCGCACGGGGAAGAAGTGTTTGTGTCCTGATGCACCTCCCTGGGACAACAGGTCTGGCAAAGAGACTTTGCAACAGCAACGCTGCTGGTTCACAGAGCCCAGCAGTGCCTGCCCCCAGCCCTCTGCTGCCCGAAACGAAAGCAGCCAGGGGGTCAGACGTGACCAACGTGACAGTGGGTCACCGTGCCCCACAGCTCCCTGCCAAGAGCCAGGCCAGAGCAGACGTGCTGCGAAGAGGAGGGGCAATCTCCTGAGACCAGAGCAGGTCGGGGAGTGCCAGACACCTCCTGGCCCCGGGGCTGGAGAGGGGTGCTGAGGAGAGGAAGGGGCAGCCAGAGCTTGGGGTGTACACGTCCGCAGGGGACACGCCGTGGTGGGCTCCGAGCTGGTTGCCAGCTGGGCTCGGGAGGCCTTCCTACAGCTGTGCAAGCGTCAGGCCTGCGTGTGGTGGCCATCAGCCCCCTCAGAGCCCCTCCAGCTCCCCGGGCACCCCCGTTTCCCTTGGTGGCGATGTGAAGGTGACCTGTCTCTGACATGCCTTGCAGGTGAAGAAGAAATGCTGAAACTTGCGGAAATGATACCAGAAGATGTGAACACCCCCGTGGAAGACGACAAAGCGGGCAGCTTCCCCTCAGTCCTGTATTAGCTTTCTCTCTCCAGTCTTAATGTTCTCACTTAAAATTTTCTGTCTGAGAGAAACTCTCATGAGTGTTGTAAAGAGATTTAGAGCCCCTCCTTCCCAGTGAATAACAAAGCCAGTGTGCTCCCAGTGCTGTTTTTGGTCTGCAGAGTGGGGCTGTGCCCCCTGCCCCTCGCTGCAGGGCGCTGTCCCCACGGGCACCTGTCCCCATTTCTGAAAGGTGCCTCCAACCCACCTCAGGGAAATGCCAGCCCCACGGTAAAGCTGAACCCCCCTGTGACATCCAGCAGGCCAGAGAGCTGCGGCTTGGGCTTTTTTTTTTCTCCACTTCTGACAAACCCGGCCATCCCTGTGCTGTTATCTGCGGCCCAAAGGCCTTTCTCACTGTCTGCTGTCCTGATAAACAGCTCGCTTTCCTCAGGTCTGAGGAGAGCGTTGTTTTTCCTGCAAGCCAATTAACTCTCACCTTGCTGAGCTGCACTAGACAAAGGCAAGCAGATCCCCATCGCAGAACAATGACCAGCTGAACCATACATGTTGGTCAGGAAAGTGCCATTTTGGGGCAAAAACGTGAGGCCCCTCTGCACAGGTGTTGTGTCTGCAGCTCCCCTGACAACTTTCAGGCCGAGACTCCAAAGAAACACGTGCCTGTGCCATGTACCCAGAATTTCTGTGAAATCAGTGAAGAACAGGGCTTCCTCTCCTCCCACATTTCACTTCTTGGCCTTCTGGCTAAGATCGAGTGTAGTGTGTAGATTTCAGGACTTGTGCTCTTCTCCTCTGTGCATGTGGGGGTGGCTTTTTTTTTTCATTTCTGTGCACCCTGACCTAGAAGGTCTTTCTCCTGGAGAACAACACCGACAACAACAACAAAAAATAATTAAATAAACTTATGGCTGAGCATCAACATGAAAGCTGTGCTGGGGTACTCTTGCCAGTCCACACCACATTGCAAGGAGGCTGGGCTGCAGGATCTGCCGTGGGTGGGCAGGGCAGGAGACCCTCCTGCCCCCACGCTGTGCTGGGGCTCAGCAGGAGCTGGTGGCTGTCCCCAGTTCCCCAACCCTCTGCAGTGCTCCTAGGGAAGGGACCCCAGCCCTGGTGCCCATCTCCATGCCTGAGGAGATGGGACCTTGTTCCCACAGGTTTTCAGACCCGGGAGAAGCAGCTTCTGGGAGGCTTTGAAGCAGCCCGCTCCCCAAGGCAAATGCCTGTGGTGGCCTTGAGGTGCTGGAGCCACCCCAGCCGCTGCACAGCCCATGTTAGGGCTCTGTCTCTATCTGGTTTCTTTGGCAGCCTGTGAGAAAGGTGTGTCCGCAGGTAACAGGTGTTATTGCAGAATAACCAAGACAAAGATAAAGCCTTCCTTATCAGTACTTTCACTTGCAAACTACAGTTCCTTTTTCTGGAACGGGGGCAAGTAACAGAGCTCCTTCCTTGTATTGATTTGCCCGGGATTCATGTGAAAACGTGTCCACATAGGGATCCAAGTGTACCGCTGGCATGGGTCCTGCTGCTAGGAGGGAGCTGAGGGTGGGCTGGTGGGGGCTGCTGGAGCTAAAGAAGAGAGGGTGACTTTTTGCAGATGCAATGCAGCATCCTCCTCCTCCTCTCCCTCGCCTTCACTCCTTCCTGAGACCCACAGAGGCTTTTAATAGGGGCCAGAAGGGGATATTTCCACCCTCTGGGATGAAAAGTAGGGTCTGAGTTTGACACAAAGGGGAGGTCAGAGACCTTTGGCTGAGCGTAGCCTTCTTGGTGATATGGGGCGGGTGATGGGTGCAGGGAGCAGGGCCAGTGCCCGACACGATGCTCTCCTCCTCGCTGTGCTCTGCTGGCGAGAGGGCAGGGCAAGTCTCCCCCAGGACACCCCGTGCTGCTGAGTGCTGTGTTTTGCTTATCACTGGCCCCGTTATACTGCCTCCCCTCCTCTGCCTGACCCGCAGCCTGTTCCTGCTGCTCCCCTTGCCCCGTGTGCTGCAGATGGGTGTGCAGCCCTCCACGTGGCTCACGGCCTTACCAGCTGCAGCAACCAAATTGATCTTCCTGGCACCGTGCCTGTTATCAAGTCGGTCAGGGCTGTGACCCTGTTTTCTCCTTTATGGCTTCCCGTCTTACTCATACTGCTGGATAAAGACCTCGACCAGATGCCCTCAGAGGAGCGGACACCTTCCTTCTGCCCACACATCCTTACAAGTAACAGGTAAGGACCTGGTGCATCCTGCCTGCAAGCCCCTGAGCTGGTGTCCTGAGCAATGTAAGTACGGGACAGAACAGAAGGTGCAGGTCCCTTTAGGGCCACCCTTGCCTGCCAGCAGTGTCTCTTCTGCTGGAGTCTGCCTGGCACTGAGGGTGGATTATTTTATGACCTGGGAGTTTACAGCTAGCTGTGACCTGGCTGTGTGTGACTAGAAAAAGAAGACTGCTTCCTGCTGGGAAGGAAGAAGGATTTGCTACAGAGTGTGGCCATAAAACGTGCCCATAAACTTTTGGGAAAAGCTATCTCTTGTCAAGCCTCCTGATTACAGCAGGACTGTTGCCAGCACAAGGTCAGCTGCATCTTGCAACCCCCCCTGTGCACCATGCATGTCCAAGGACTGAATGAGACAGGCACAGCTTTTAAAGGACTGATTTCTTTTTTTTCTTTTTTTTTTCTTTTTTTTTTAATTTATGGGGAGCTCCAGAAAACACTCCTGACTGCCACATATTTGTCTGCAAGAGTTAGTGGCTAGAGAAGAAAGGCTGGTGATGCTGAGGATGCCTTCACACAGCCATAACACAGGCCACATCGCAGTGACAGCAGTCTGCCCTGGTGAGTAGTCTTTCCTGTGGTCTCTTAAAGGTGCAAGAGATTAAAGAGGAATAAAATTCCCTTGGTTTGAAGAGATCCTCTCCTGACACTGCAGAAAGTGAGGTCACAGCACATGGTCACACACACCCTCCCTGTGTGGTCTGCGAGCATCCAAGGGGACGTGACACAGCCGTGCAGGCGGCCACCACGGCCTGCCAGACACTCAGAGCAGGCACGGCCAGCTTCCAGCAGGACGGGAGGAGAGATGCTGTTTGGTTTGTGTTTCTTGGATTTCTCTTCTTGGATTTCTCGTGAGGAATGGGGTCTCCCGCATGTGCAGGATGTCAGGGGTGAGTGGTGGCAGGCTGTTGCTCGTGGGTGGTGTTTTAAGCAGGAGGGCTTTTTTTCTGGTCCGTAGCAGAAGTGAGGTCAAAGCCAGGTCTGAGCAGAAAGAACCAGGCCGGCAGCTGGCAGCTGGAGGCCAGCAGAGGCCGATGTGAAGTCATTCCACCCTGCCAGAACCCGGTCTTGCAGAGCTGGGAAAAAAAAACCACCTTTCTTGTTGTTTTACCAATATTGACTTGAGGTAATAAATACTGGTGACTGCAAACACTCACTGCCTCCTTGGCCACTATTTCCTGCCAAGAAATCATTAGCTCTGATCCTTCTGTTTAAATAAATATATCTCTAATTGTTCCAGGGCTGCCAAGGACTAGGCTGTGTGCACGGCAGGGCTCAGCAGCAGTCCACAGGCTGGCCTGGCTCTCCTGTGTCATCAGGAAATCACAAAACCATAGAAAAAGTGAAGTGGGAAGAGACTTCTGGAGATCCTGAGTCCAACCCCTGCTGAAAGCTGACTCTTTGTCAGGGAGTGGAGCCATAGAATAAAGAGAGATGGCTTTAAATTAAAAAAAAAAAAAAAAAAAAAAAAAAAAAAGATTAGATTAGACATCAGGAAGAAGTAGTTCAAGTAGTTCTTTACTCAGAGGGAGGTGAGGCCCTGGCACAGGCTGCCCAGAGGAGCTGTGGGTGCCCCATCCCTGGAGGTGTTTAAGGCCAGGCTGGATGGGGCTTTGGGCAGCCTGGGCTGGTGGGAGGTGTCCCTGCCCATGGCAGGGGGCTGGAACCGGGTGGGCTTTAAGCTCCCTTCCAGCCCAAACCACTCTGTGTCTCTGTGATGCTATGACTGCAGTTTAGACTTGCTGTCTTTCCCCTTTCCAGGTGAACACACCTGATTCCCTCAGCCTGCCCACTGCTGTGGCCCCCAACTCCATGGCCTCAGCTGGGCTCCGGTGTATCAATGTCTTTCTTGTCTTGGGTTTTTCTAAATGGATCCATTTCTAGGCTTATCCACACCAAACAGGGGAAAGCACATTACAACAACATTTAGAAATAAACTCCAATGAACCTCAAGACCAAGAAGGAAGAAATCATCACCACCAACACCTGCTGATAAAAAGGAAGAAACCTTTGCCAGGAGTTTCGTGATCTGCCTGCTGAAGACACCAGGGGGTGTCTTTTTTGTCTCAGAGGGCTTCATGCAGAACAGCCCAGGATACAGCCTCCTCTTCCTTGCAGACCAAGTGGCCTGGGGAAAGTACTCCATCCCCTACAAACATTTTTGGCCCTGCACATCCTCAGGACCACCAGCTGCACCCTGTGTTCAGTTTCTGACAGAGCTGGTGGAAGCTCAGGTTTGGCAGCTGGGGCTGGGGCTCCCCACCAAGACCCTTTCCCTCCCTCTCCCTCTGCCCACGCAAGGAGGGGCTGTGGTGGCTGCTCCAGACCCCAAAGTAACTCCAACTCCCAGGGGTAGCTGATGGCTCCGTCTCCCCCCCCAGTGACTTCTTGATCTCAGGCAAGAGGCCGAGCAGGTGGCACAAGCTGCGAAATCAGCTCTGCTGTGGGGATGCAATAGGATTCGTGGCCCTGAGGCGTGGATTTCCCCCGATTGCCCCTCAGGCCGGTGCTGGAGGAGCACCATTTGCTCCAGTCTGGTCACAAGTGACCCTGGCTCTGCCAGAGGCTTGCTCCCACAGCCTGGCGTAAGCCTCCTAGACCCTGGTGCCAAACGACACGGTATTATTATTATTATTATTATTATTATTATTTATTTTTTAGTTGTAAAAAGGGCTGTGGGGAAAATCACTGCTGAGGGAACCACACAGAAGGGCTCTCCTGGCAACAGCCCTGATTCAGGGGCAGGGAGACGCTTTCTGAAGGTCTCTGGAGGGGGAGGTGAGCGCAGGCTCCTCTGCCCGTGCCAGCAGCAAGGCAGGCAGCAAAGAAGCCTCGTGGTGGAGCCATCACCTCCTTGCAGCAGGGACACCCCTGTCAGGGCTCACACCTGGGTCTCCAGCAATCCTGGCAGACTGAGCAAGAAGAAGCCGAGGGAAGGCAGAGGGAGCGAAAGGCGAGGAGCAGCACAGCACCTCCGAGCAATCTGCTGCTGCTCCGTCGGCCTCGGGGGGACATGTGGAAGGCTTGAAGAAACCAGCAACGCCACGTTACAAACAACAGGACAGAGATTTATTTCCATTACAGGTGGAGTAGAAGAGTAAATACAAAAAATAATAATAATAATAAAAGTATCTCTAATGCATAGTACAAATTTTCCCCTAACCTGTAATAATCTGCTTTCTCGAAGGCAAGGCAAGGAGTGGCTGTGCCCGAGGCTGGGCAGCACCGAGGTGCTCTGCCCCTCTTCTCCTCAGGGCTCACACCCAGTTTCTTACCCAAACCTATCGGACTCGTCTCCCAGAAATCAAAAAAGGCTACTTGGGAACTTGGGCTAACTCTGCTAAACAGAAGGAAGGATATTTACAGCGAAGTTTCCAGAAACCAGGAGTTTCCCTGTTCCGGACGGTGGCTGAGAGTCACCAGCCCGGCTGCCTGATGCGGCGTATCCCCAATTTCTCGCAGACGTGGCATATCCCCAATTCCTCACAGACACAGCAGATCCCCATCCCCTCACCCACAGGCCTGCCTGCACAGGAGCCCAGAGAGGTCGCAGTAGCCACAAAACCACAGTAGTGCTTGTGGGAAGGGACCTGTGGAGTCCTCTGGGCCGGCTGCAAGCAGGGCAGGTAGGGCTCTGTCTGTTTTTGGCGTAAAATCCTCAGAAGACAGAGGCCCTCGGAGGGTCCGTGTGGCTTTTCAGTGAGCACACAGACCCTGGCTCCTGCCCAGGGTTTCTCGCTGAACTTGGGCAGTCTGTGGCCAGGTGTCCCAGGTCCTTGGTGCAACAGGCGCACATCCACTGCACCCACTGCAGTAAGTACACCCTAGGTGCCTGGTGTCCCTAACTGGAGGTTAGAAATGATTTGGAGAGAAATAAGAACCAGCATCTAGATCCTGTCAGCAAACAATACACGACTGCACCTACACAACTGGTACCTTGTGAGTCACCACAGTCCATCGCGCATTCTCCAGACACCAGGTTTTGCTCCTGAGCTTATGTTACACACTATCCAAGCTCAGGAGTGGCTTGCACAAGGCAAACAAAATACTCTCAGGTTTAGTCCTCAGCACCTGAGGAGAGGCGAAGCAGCAGAGAGCCCCACGGGACCCATCTGGCTCCCGCTTTGCTTCCTGCTGGTTCCCAAAAACAGCTTCCCCATCACCCGGCGCCAGGAGGAGCTGCTCAAAATCCCGGGCTGTGCAGGGAGGCAGGCGGGCAGCCCAGCCTGCAGAGCTGGGGCAGAGGCAGCGGGAGGCTCCGAAGCAGAGGCACAGGTTGGTTAGCACCCGGCGGCCGCAGGGCTTGAGGTCAGCTGTTGCCGAAGGAAGACTGATGAGACAGTTTCTCTCTGTTTGTTTGTTTTTTTTGTTTTTTTTTTTTCACAAAGAAACAAACGGGAAAAAAAAAAAAAAAAAAAAAAAAAAAGTTCCTGCACCTTTGGTTAGACCAGGGTTAGTTAGGTGGCTGATGAGGATCATCGAGCCTGGATCCTTGAGCTGACCAGCGCAAAGCACTGGTGCTAGAAAGGCACTTATTTGTACACAAAATTAACCCATGTGTGTGCACATGGAGATGCTGGTGCAGCAGGCTCGCCTCCTTGAACCGAGACTTGCACAAAGCCCAGGCAATCCAGAAGGAAATAAAGGCTACCTGTAGCTGCCTGCAGCAAGGTCTCCCTCCCCCTGCCCAGCCCTGTCTGTGTCCCCCAGGAGCTGCTGCAGCAGCAGCGGTGAGCGAAGGGAGCGCCTGCAGACGGCTGCCAAACCGGAGAGCTGCCACAGCCAGGGCTACAGCTCCTCCTGCAGCTGGTAAAAGGGAAGGCGAGAGAGGGCTGGGCGAGCCGAGCCGCTGCGGGCAGCATCTCCTGGACCTGCCGGGGCCAGGAAGGGCAGGGAAAGGGACAAGGCTGCTCTGCAGGGGGGGCAGCAAGCGAGGGAGAGACCCCACGCGCGTCTCGGCACACCGAAGGTTTGAGGTAGGCTTGTGGTCCTGCCCCGGGGCAGCAGTTTCCTCGGGGCACAGCTGAAGAGGTGCTGAGGGGCATCAGAGAGCTCCTGGGCAGGGGCAGCAGCTCCGGGACGAGCCCCAGCTGCCATGGGGGTGCCTCACCCTGCCGTGTGCCATCCTGACCGCCCGGGGAGGGAAGGGTGGTCTTCTGCCTCGGGGACACACGGGGGGCTGCCCCACAGCTTCTGCCGTCCACCTCTCACGGGGGACTGGCCAAATGGTCACCAGCAGATATCATCTGAAAAAGCCCCCGCAGGATCCGAGCTGTTGGCAGCTGCCTGCAGCTGTAGGATGAGAGACAGGCACCAAGTCAGATTAGCAGGGTGCTGAGTGTGTGCCACAAGGAACTCCTGTGCTGTCTCCATCCTTGGACGTTATCTAGACTCTACAGGATAGCCCCCCCCAAAAATTGGTCTGGCTCATTGCCGAGCATAAGGTTGGAGCAGAAACTTCCCGGCTTCCAGCCTCCAACCCCGGTTACCCTGTGGTCCTACCCATCTGTAGGTGTAGGTGTACCCTCTCCCTCCTCTTCCAAACCTCCCGCTGCTTTTCCCACCTCCCTCTCCCCACCCAAAGCCCCACCAGTTTGCAGGAGCCTCTCACCAACCTTCTCCTGACCCTGGTCATGCAGTCTCACATCTTAATGGGGAAAGGGAGCTGGATGAGGAGATGCCAGCTGCGGAAGGGCTGCATCTGCTCCCTCCCTGCTGACAACTCCAGAGCCCCGGGCACCTCTCAGGTCCCCAGTCCCCTTCCCGAGGTGGCGAGATCTGTCTGGAGAGATCTGCTTGCATTTCTCCAGGTACCTACTCAGAAGCCTTTGCCCATCATTTGTCCCCTCTTCCCTTTTCCATGGTCTCCTTTTGCCTTTTCTCCGTCCTAGGAGAGCTTGAAAGAAAAGGAGAGCAAGCAGAGATCGAAAAACTCCGTGCCCTGCCTCTCTCACTTGTTTCAGGAGGAGAGAGGAACTTCAGCTCCAAAACAGACCAGGCTGCCTGGGCTTTGTGCAACCATCCCAGGAAGACCTCTACGGGCAGAGATCCCCCGGCCTCGCTGGGTCTGGAAGGGACTCCAGAGGCTGAGCACACTTCTAGGAAAAGTCTCTACGCACCAAGCCCCACTGCTCCCCCGAGCCCCTGCAGCACAAAGCACGAACCCCTGGCGGGATGCGACTTGCAGAGCCTGCCTGCACCCCAAACCTTCCCCAGCCCCTATAAACGCACTGAAGAGCCCCAGCGCTAGCGTGGCACATCCCTGCACCACAGCAGGGACCTGCCAGCATGCTGGTGCTTTTGTGGCCATGGTGCATGAAGCTGGGGAAGGCGTCCTCCCACCTCCCTCCTCCCCGAGGTCCGGTTGTGCGAGCAGAGCTGTGAGCAGCGGGGAGGTTTTTGGGAGGGAGATCTTCAGGAGGGAGATCTCTGGGAGGGAGATCTTTGGGAGGGAGATCTTTGGGAGGAAGATCTTTGGGAGGAAGATCTTTGGGAGGAAGATCTTTGGGAGGAAGATCTTCAAGCACGAGGTCCTCAAGAGCGAGATCTTCAAGCGTGAGGTCTTCTGAGGAGCTCCCGGGCCGCCTGCGGGGGGTCAGAGCGCCGGGACGAACCTGTCGGAGGCTGCGGGGAAGGCTCCGTGCCTCGGGCCGTGCTCGGCGGCCCCCATCTGCCCGCCGGGGCCGTAGGAGTGGGGCAGGGGCGCGTAGAGCCCGGCGGGGGCCGGCGGCGATGCGGGCAGCACGAAGCGCCCCGGGGGCGCGTACAGGGGGCCGGGGCCGGCCGGGGCGTACGGGCCGGGGGCGGAGGGCAGCGGCCCGTAGCCGTGGGGCAGGGCGGCGGCGGTGCAGCCCTGAGCGGGGCAGGAGGCGGCGGAGAAGGCGCAGGAGGCGGCGGCGGCGGGGTCCGGGGGCAGCTCGGCGGGGGGGAAGAGGCGGCAGGGGGCGGCGGGGCGCTCGGCGAGGAAAGCCGGGTAGGTGGAGAGGTCGCTGCGCTTGAAGCGCTTCCTGCGGCGGAGGAAGCTGCCGCTCTCGAACATGTCCCGGGCGTGGGGGTCCAGCGTCCAGTAGTTGCCCTTGCCGGGGCGGCCGGGCTCCCGGGGCACCTTGACGAAGCAGTCGTTGAGGGTGAGGTTGTGTCGGATGCTGTTCTGCCACTTGCGGGGGCTGTCGCGGTAGAAGGGGAAGCGCTCGGTGATGAAGCGGTAGATGCCGCCCAGCGTCAGCCGCCGCTCGGGCGCCTGCCCGATGGCCATGGCGATCAGGGCGATGTAGCTGTAGGGCGGCTTGCCCCGCTCCGCCGCCCGCTTGCGACGGCGGCGGCCGCCCCTCGCTGTCCCCCCCGTCCCCGCCGCCGCCGCCTCCTCCTCCTCGTCCCCCGGCGGCGCCGGGTCCCCTTTCAGCGGCGGCGGGGGGCCCGGGGGGCCCGGGGGCAGGCGGCTCTCGGCGGTCATGCGGCCGTCGGGGCGGCCCCGCCGAGCCCAGGAGGCGCAGCCCGGCCCCTTCGCCGCCGCCGCCGCCGCTTTTATGGGGCCGTGTCCGGCGGCTCCGCGCCCCGGCGGCGGCCGGCACTCCCCCTGCTACGCCCCGCGCACCGGGACGGGCTGGGGCTGGGGCTGGGGCTGGGGCTGGGGCAAGTCAGCGCCCCGATGCCGCCCCCCGGCCCCCAGCAGCGAGCCCCGAGCGGGTCCCTGCTTGCCCGGGGTGCCCGTGCCGCGGGATGTCAGCTGCCAGCCTGGAAGGGGATGGGATGGGGATGGGGTGGGGATGGGATGGGATGGGGATGGGATGGGGATGGCCCTGACGGCTCCCTGCTGCTGGCTCAGGTGCTGGGGGCTTGGCCAGCACCAAGTGAGCGCCGTGGGTGTGTGCTGTGCGTGCCGTGCTGGCACGGGGACCCTCCTCAGGCAGTGTGTAAGGGGCTGCAGGAGGTCCCCGGGAGGTGGAAGAGAAGGGAGCGGCACGAGCAGGAACGTGCGTGCATGGAGGGAGAGCACACGCAGGTACACACAGGTGTGCAAGGGCACTGGGGCAGGACTGAGGGTGTGTATGGGGTTCCTGGGCATGCAGCGGGATGCACGCGTGTGCACACGCACGTGGCACAAGGCATGAGCGTCCCTGTGCGTGTGAACGTGTGCGGGAGTGGATGGGGTGGGAGTGTGGTGGGGCTGACACGCAGGACGGGGTGCAGTGAGTGCAGGTGCTGGCCTGCTGGAAGCACTCCTGCCTTGGTGCCCCCTGCCAGCGCTCACAGAGCTCATGTCAGCAGGGTGCGGGGTCTGCAGCTGTGGGAAGGGCACTCCCAAACCCCGGGGACCCTTGCACAAAGGAGATGTGCATCCCGGTGAAACAGTGGTCACTTGGAGGTTTCCCACAACGTCATTTCTCCACGCAGAGAAAAACCAGCATGTGTGAGAAGCCACTGGCGTGTGGAAAACCAGCCCAAGCCCTGGCTCCTTGCTAAATAAGGGGACGCTGAGTCTCAGGCCACGTACATATTTCTATAGCTTCTAGCAGAAAAAAAAAATACAGGGTGGCACCAGCTGAGGACCCAAGCGTGCTGTCCCAGCTGCTGGCATCATTTGTGTGGCAGCATTTCACCTCGCGTGCTGCAGCGCTCAACCCAAGAGCCTGCTCCTCCCGCAGTGATACCCGCGGTGTTGGAGCAGGCAGAACGCACGGGGAGGGTTACTAAGAAGCAGCCTCCCTCAGCACGGCTGCCTCTCCTGCAGTGCTCTGCCCCCTTGGCTCTCAGAAAGCCTCATCTGGGCACGAATCTCCCCTGCCCGGCCTTGCAAAGAGCAGCTCTGGGGCTGCGCCTCGCTGCGCCATGCCAACGCCGTGCCTCCAGAGGGCAAAGTCAGATCGTGCTTCAGTCTGCGGTGGCAGGCGGTGGGGAACAAAAGAGGCGTGCGCTGAGGTGGGGTGGCGTGCTGAAACGCTGCTTTTGCCCTTCCTGCTGCTGGTGAAAATCCCTGCAAGAAATCCCTTCCAAGAAAGCCCTCTCCTTGGCAGATCCCAGCATGTCAGCGGTGTGAGCTGGGTACCGAAATAGCGCGTGCTGGCTGCTGCTCCTGCGCCTCTCCTCACCACACACGCGGAGCTGTAACGCCAGCTGTTGTGAGTGAAGCGGTGTTTGTGCGACGTGCTGGCTGTCCCCAGCCTGATACTGTCACCAGGCTGCTTAAAAAACACTTCCAGCCCTCCAGTCCAGGCACGGGAATGCATCCCATCTTAATGACTGGTGTCACACACGTGGGTCCTGGGCTGCAGCTCTCCTACCCTGGTCAGTCACAGAGTTGCTGGAGCAAGAGCCTTGGTGCTCTTCGCGTCCACAGGCACTTTTTTGGTTCAGCTATGCTGGAAGAGGGACAACATTTTTATAGAGGAAAGAAAGAATCCAGTGCTTTCACATAGTCTTGTCCCCAGCATTGATTTACCAAATCCAGTTGGAAATGCCCCTCTGGTTAAACACTCGCAGTGCAATCGGAAGCGTGTGGTACCTACAGCACTGTTAGCCATACGAAAGTGATAGCTCGGCCTTTTTCTCGGTACCAGGGACAGAGTTTCGGAGAGCACCAGCAGAGCCAGCATTTTTTTCCATCTGAATTCCCCAGCTCAGATCCTGCCTGTGCTGAAGTCTGCCTTTGGCTGAGGAAAGCGCTCCCTGATTTTGAGACCAGGCACTACAGAACGTGCCCGACACGAGAGCTTTATGCCATGGCCTCTCGAGACGGGGGTTTGTTGGTACCACTAGCTGCCAAAAGAGTTATTCCAGCCAAAATCCCATCTGCTTGGATCTCTCAGAGCAATTTCAAACCGTGGAAGAAATCCAGTCCTCTAGGCTTCATTCCTCTTAGCACCTCCTGGGCTACAAACCACACCCTTGCGATCCCTCAGGAGTAAAGTGCTGGAAGCCCTGCTCTCCGTGAGCCCTGCGACCTGAGGGGCTTCTCCCACCTCCTCCAGGCCCGAGGGGAGCAGGCACCAAGCGTGGGGACTGCCCCTCAGGGGCAGCAGGCTCACAGTTTTGGCTCCAGCACCAGCACGCCTCCCGTCCTTGAAGGGAGATGGGTTTTGTTTTGCCTCTGTGCCCCAAGAGCGGTAGAGATGCGTTCAAGGTGCCCCGAGCCGTGGGTTCAGCGGTGCCAAATCCCAGATCAGATGGGCTGCAGACAAACGAAATGAAAACACATTTCCCATGGCGCAGCCTGCATCCCGAGCACAGCTGCCTCTGCAGGCGGGTGACTCCCTTGTTTTTTCTGCTGGTTCTGTGTTTGGCACAAGGTCTCCTCTGCTGGGAGCACGAAGGGCATCCAAGCCAGACAACTTACTGCACTTTAAGATAAAAGGATCCCTGCTAAGATCCAAGGGGGGACCGCAGGGCTGGGTCTCCTGGAACAGGAGAGGCGATGGGGACATCCTTCATTGGCTTCCAGAGCTTGTGCCCACAAGGGACAGTCCAAAATCACCGAGTTTAAGGTATCTGTTATCTGACTGGAGGCACCAGATACAAAAGCAGAGGGGTGGTTGTGTGGATCTGTGGAAATACTTTGTACCTAGAGCTTGGCGTGCAGACCAGGGTGAGATCTCTGGGGGGGGAGAGGAGGTGTAGCTGCCACATGCCTGTGGCCATGTGGCAGAAGAGGGGATGGAAAGCGATAGACTAATGGATACTTTGCTTTAGTGGCCTGGTTGGTTATCATCTGTTGTGCTTTCCCAAATTAATGCCACTTCCCTCCCCCTGGTTATGTTTCTGGGCCTGGTTTGCAAGAGGATCAGGCTGCCCATTCTTGCCTTTGTACCCCCAAGAAATCAGTGGGAGCTGAGCAGATCTGTCAGATGCCGTGCAAGGAGGAGCTGACTTTTTCTGGGGACGTGCAAAGCAGAGTCAGGCTCTCTTCTGTAAGACGAAAATCACTTGTTATGCCTTTTTTTTTTTTTTTTTTTTGGCAGGTGGTGTGCGGTTTGCATGGCTCTCGCTCCTCTGCAGCTTGTGCATTTCAGCGCCTCATGAAAATCTTCCGGATGGGTATCTTTGAATAGCCATCGGGGCTGTTGGCATGGAAATAAGAGCTTTCTATTTTGCCTTTCAAATGCTCTATTTGGGCCAGTCATTCAACAGTTTCGAGAGGTTTAATCCCCTCTAAAAGCGGCCTACGTCTTTGGCATTCGCTCAGCCTGTAGCAGGTCCAAGCGCACGGGGCACAGTGGTGGCTCTTGCAGGACCGACATCTCCTGCTGTCCACCACCTCCTGCCCTCGGGGGTGCCCTGCTGGGACCCGTCTGCTGAGCCTGCCACCTCCACGGGGCTGGCTGGACCCTGGGCTTGTGCCATGTGAAGCCTGGCACTGCTGGCAGGAGTGCTGCTTGATCCCTCTCAGCAGCCAGCGGCGAAACCTGATGCCCGATAGATGATGATGATGGGATGCGGCCATTTGGACAGGGTGGTTTATTGCTTTTGTTATTTTATTTGAGACTAATTATTTAATTACTTTGCCTTAATGTCAGCAAAGAGTCCTCGCAAGTATCTTGCTGTATTTCAGTAAGCCATTTGGAAAGAAATGTTTCCTTTCTTTTTCCTTCGTTGCAGACAGAACCGCACAGCCCTGGACAGCATTGCCCTTTTTCTGACCAGCACTTCAGTGTGGAGTGGAAAGGGAACAGGTAATTTTAGCCATGCTGTAGTGCTGGGAAATTAATAGGCAGGAGAGATTTCTTGGTTGTGTTCTTTGCTGCTAATGGCCTTCTTGTTGTTCCACCCAAAACACAGCCATTTAAAGGTCTTTAGCAAATTGCAGTAGAGTTTTCCTATAATTTAGTAACCAATTTCCTCAGTTGGCTTGTTCTATTCAGTTTATTCTGTGGCACAGAGCTTGCAGGAGGCTGAGCATTGATTTCCTCATGGTCAGAGAGAACAGCCAAGCAGGAAAAGAAGGGAAATAAAAGGTTTGGAGGAAGAGGGGGAGGAGGAGGAGAAGGAGAAGGAGGAGAAAGAGGAGGAGGAAAATAAAGAGGTGGAGGAGAAGGAGAAAAAGGAGGAGGAAGAGGAAGAGGAGGAGGGAGAGGAGGAGGAAGAGCAGAAGGGGGAGGAGAGGAAGGAGAAGAAGAAGGAGGAGGAGGAGAAGGAAAAGGAGGAGGAAGGATAAGGAAGAGGAGAAGGAGGACCACAGAAAGGCAGGGAATGTGGAAAGGAAGGGTAGGGGGCTGGAGCTAGAAGAAGATGAGGAGCCTTTGCTGGAGGTGGAGTTGTTTGTTTTGTGGAACAGATCTTGAAGGGACAGACAAAAAAAGCGGTGCCCACCAAGGCGTTTTCTCCTCCAGGTCTTGGCCTGGAATCCAAGACTTTCAGTCTCAGCGTCCCCTTGGTTTGAGCAAAAAAATGTGAAAACTAATGTCACAGATTTCTAGGACTGGTCTTTATAGGGCATATAAAACTTGCAATGCTGTGAGCAGCTCTGTTTTTTTTTTTGTTTGTTTGTTTTTCTCAAGGCCAAGGAAAATCACCGATGAAACAGCATTATAACTGAATATTAATCGCAGAAGGTTAATAATGGGAAGACGGTGGGAAACTTTAATCTCCTCTGTGGTTTATAATTTTTACAAACCTTACTTTGGTTCCAAATCACTTTCATTCCCTAGCTTGGTCTAAGCAGAAGGTAGCCCACTCTCTGGATGAATCAGAGCTGTGCAGCAACAGAAGCATTCCTTTGTTCC